AAGTACTGCTGAAGGGCAGCAAGGTGGAGGCCTGTTGTAGGGCTGGAAAGCAAACTTATAGCAACATGAAGGGTGGAAGAATAGATAAATATCTCGTCGAGGTCGAGCTACAACCGGAGCACCACCCGGACCTGTAGAGACTATCACCGCCTTGAACGAGGGACAGCCAGAGCACTTCGTCGACGTCAAATATAACCCACGAAGGGAAAATAGCAAGACTAAACCTGAATGCAGATGCAAAACAAAAACGCCTCACTCTAAGCACATCACCCCCTATTTATAAAAGAGGTTGGACTTATTTTAGGTGATTAAAATAAGAAAGGAGAATAAAATATAATAAGATATTCAGATTTTAGAAAAAAAAATTAAAATAAGAAAGGTTTTAAAATAAGAATGGAGAATAAGATCCAATCAGGATTTCAGACTTTAGAAAAGAATTTAAAATAGAAAAGTGCTAGGAACAAAAATAAGAAAAGAAGGAAATGAAGGAAAAAGGAAAGGAGGAAAGAGGGGGAGGCAATCCCCCTTCCTTGAGGACCGGTCGGTCCTCTTCTGAGCCCCGCGTCAGTCTCTCGGGATTGGTGGAGCTTCGACCTCACCTATCGAAGCTTCTGATCACTTGTCTTTAATCATGGCAGCACCTGGATCCCACTGTTGACTATAATGCCTCCCAATGCACTTGCGAGCTCACCTGCATCTCGATCTGATCTACCGAGACTGAAATCTCTTGCATGTTGGTGACCATGGTGGTAGAGAATTGATTGTTACTAAAATCGGTTTCGCTACTCTACCGGTAAGGGTTCCTGTCTCCTCAGGCTCTACTGAAGGAAGTAGAATGAGACGTTTGTCGTCTTTAGTGACGGAGTACGCATTTCTGAATCCATCGTGCTGAGTCTTCAGGTCAAATTGGCATGGTCTTCCTAGCAGAAGGTTGCAGACATCCATGGGGACCACATCACACCACACCTGATCCTACAGCTGACTCCCTATTGAAAACTCTATTAGGCATTGTCGGTCGATGTTGACCCTATTTTTCTTCTTCAGCCACGTCAACAAGTATGACTGGGAATGTCTCTGAGTTGTGAGTCCCAATTTCTCTACTATCTGGGTCGATACCACATTCTTATTGCTACCCCCATCAGCTTCTCTAGGCAGCAACTAGTGAGTAGCATAATCCATTAATGAAACAAATATTGTCTACTAAGAAATAATACAGGTCACATGAGTCAAAAGGCCATCTAATAACACCTTTAGACTAGTAATTAGAAAGCAGACGTGCCAGTTTACCTGGCAATAATTAGAAAAATGCTGGTTAGAGCGCACAATTCTTAGTACCAAAATGAGAGAAACGATTGGAAGAAACCCCTATCTATGACCGATTCTGGAAATTCCCGTAATATGCCAAACCAGCCCTTGGAGATTACCTTCTTAAACTTTAAAATTTATAGAAAAATAAAGATTATTAATTGAGCAAGTAGAGCTACGCCAAGCAAATGCTCACAGAGGGCAGTTAAATGACCATAACCAGCACTTCAAAACAGGAATAGAAAAAAACATCTAGATAATATCAAGAAAAAAAATAGCATCTAAGAAAATTTCGGTCCACTTTGACAAATACAATGGTTATCAACTACAAAAGCTGTTAATAATTTTATCAAAGATGCAGTAGAGCTTTCAATATTGCAAGGTTTAGTTAAATATGGTGAAGAAAATCCCTTACAGATTCACTGGCATAGACAGGGACCATGAACAGGACGCCTATTATCCACTTCTGCTCCTGAAATAGACCAAAACCGTCAAAGTTGGGAAATGTCGGCATACAAAAACATCTCTAAGTTTCCAACACAACAAATGATTATGCAACACCTCACAATAATACAAATGGAAAAAAAAATTGAAGTATGACACAGCACTATGTTGACAACAGTTTACAAGGAACATGATGATATGTGAAAAACATCAGACTAAAACGATTAGTGTCACAAATGTACAAGACATGTGATATAAAACATTCATTAATTCATAAAAAATATTTTAAACAGGAAAGCCTCGCTAGAAATTGAATGTATGATAATCAAAAATAAAACAATGAGACGGCTTAGTATACACGCTCGTGCCCATAGGGGTACAGAAGAATGAATTAAATGCAATATCCAAACACTGTTGTTTAAGTGGGAAACAGACATCCATGTGGAATTGAAGTATTACATGATTACTCCTCAAGTTTTGACATCAAAGAAGATATTGAACTAAAAAAAAGAACTTACATCAGGATTAGTGTATGATCTAAGATGTTGGAAAATCAGCATGAATGAGATGACTAAGGCAATCAGGGAAAATATTCCTCCAATTATAACAACTGGAGTGTGAAGATTCCTATACACTCTTTCATCGAATTCCACTCCAGAAATGCCTCCTGAAAGGGAAATGAATTTCCAGGTTAGGTACTCTGATATAATTGAAACAATACGCAATGCAGGAATTTGGATTCTGAAATAAAGCACACGCACTATAAATGCCTAAAACACATTTCATATAGAGGAAGAAAAAAAACAAGTGAACACTATTAACCATACTGAAATAGATGGTTATCCCAAAATTAGGTATAGAAAAATCTAAATTCCTTGGCACTTTTCAAGTTTGGAGTTTATGATGTAATTCCTAACTCGTTGAGCAGAGCCAAAAAGCATGAAGAATAAAATGGTTTGTTAAATATATATGAGTGGTTGTGAGTTCCCGAGTCATATTGTTCATTCCTTCAACTTTTTCTCTTGTAAGGTGGCAATCAAATTTTATATGATTTATTCATTCATAACAAACTGGATTTGAAGCTGTATAAAGCGACACCTTTCTTCACAAAATAAATTAATAAGATGATAATTTTTTAAGCCCAAATCCTATAGATTTCTATAACTATTCATCTCACAATAGATGGTAGCCATTGAATGGCATTTACTTTCTAGAATGAACAATGAGGTTTGTTTATTTGATTTCCAAGGAATTAAGGAGCAATCAATAAATATGCAACACATAGTAACTGAATATCGAGTGTCACGACACCTAGCCTAATCAACATCACATAAAGCATTTAGTTGAAGAGAACTTATTGTAATTTGTTCCACATATAATAAGCCACGATAAGTCACTTCTACACGTAATAAGGGTTGTCCATAGATTGATTGCATGCACCACATAAGATTGTCAACAAAAACAATAAGCCTTTATCCCACCAAGTGGACAATATAAAAAAGTAATCGCCCAATAATCCTTCAATATAGAAATTGATCACAAATATAGTCGTTATCATACTTGCTAAGTTGAAGTTTCAGCTCCAAAAGAAAAAGATAAGCTTTGTAACAAGGTATCAAGCATCTTCAAGAATGTCAAAAGCAAATTTCATTACAAAGGAGTAAAATCTTTCTTAGACTATAAAACCGTTTGCCTAAGAAATAGTTCAATCAGGATTCCTTAGTTTGAATTTAGTATCTTAAATATCTTGTAGACTGCCCCCTGCTTTGATTACATCATCTACATATATAATGAGAATAGTTTGCAATCCTGAGAAAAGGCTGCCTTCAATTGCTTGTAGAATCAGAGAATTAGTAACTTAACTTTGCCCAAACTCGCACACAAATAGAGCAAATGCAAAAAGCATAACAGATACTAAGATTTTTGTGTGAAAAACCTAAAAAATGGAAAAACCAAGTGGCCTAATCCAATAATTCAATATGTATGTGATGTTACAAAAGTCCATACTTCCCCACAATTAAAAAAGTTGGGATTATAAAGGTTAAAGTAATTGTTGGGTCTCCTTTGATTATAAAAGAAGTGAAAGGTGATAATGGTGGTCGAGCAATAAATTGGATGTTGATGGTCAAAAGGCGGTGGTAGAAGCACAGGAGACAATAATCAGGCGATGATGATTAGGAGACGATGGTCAGACAATGGTTGTCATGTAACAACAAATGCGGGATGATGGTTGAACAAATGTTGTTAGTAATGATAATTATCGGTGTTCAATATTAGGCAGAGCTTTATAGTTCCTAATGTTTCCCAACTCTTTCCAACTACAAGTTAAAATCCCATTTAGGTGAAAAATAAGGATCTATTTATGATCTATTTATGATCTATTTATGATTTTTTATATTAATATTTTAGTTATTTTAGTTAAAATTCCAAAATAAATCTATTGTAGAAGCAATATTATTTCCTGACTATTCACATAGGTCATTTTAGTCCCAGAGCCTATAAAATTGTCAAATTAGTCTCATGACTTTTTTAAAATGAGCTGAAATAGTCCCCATATAGGACTATTTTAGCCCCTATTAAAAGTTTCTAGGGATTAAATTGATACTTTTATAAACTTTGAAACTAAAATGGTCCATTGCAAAAAGTCAATGGACCATTTAAACAATTTTTTCCTTTAATCATAGAACTTGCATTCATCATTTAAATTCCTTAATGACCTCTTGACCTTATTAGATTACTCTTGTCAATACTAGTGTTTAAAATTATGCAATGTGAGATGCACCTCAGCATTATTTGGCCCTTGAGCATAACGAGGCGCGTGCCTCATGTTCCCCATACGAGGCGTATGTGTTATATTTGACGAGGTGCACCTTAAGGTGTGCTTTGCCTAAGAATGTTGATGTGTTTGCCTTAATAGTTAGGGATTTTTTTTATGATCTACTTAACCCAACTTGCAACTATTCGGCTTTCATTCATTGCACATGCACGACCTAGCCTGTTGTCTCCTCTCTCACAATGACATCACACTCCTCTCTCGCAATGACATCATAGCAGATTGTCCCCAACACCTCAGTCACCATCGCAACATTAGTTGTCTTTTGTTGCTTCTGCGATCGCACGCACGATCTCCCTTCTCTTCGTATTATGTAAGGCCTTTACCCACACTTACGACATATGTTGTTGCATTTTGTTACTTCTACCGCCACCATGACCTTCTACTTCCGCTATTGCTGCTGACACCTTTATTGCGGTAATTTTATGTGAGTTAGATCTAATAATGTTATAATATTTTATTAATTAAGTTACTTTTGTGTTAAAATATGTTTATCATAGCAAAATTAGCTTAGTTAATTTATTATATGTTATCATGTAGCGGCCTTTGCACACTTTTCACTGTATTCAAATCACACAACGCACCACTTTTAGGAGATGCTCTAGCATTTACGCAATGATCAAAATGATTCATGTCATGATTTTTTCGACAAGTTTTACGCTGACTGTCGATTACCTAACGCAGCCCTCCACATCCCTAAATCAATTTACAGATGGTACTAAATCTATTTTAAAAAATTTTCAGCTCAAAAATTGTGTCAAGATTCATGCTTGAATGGACAAATTTTTTGGTTGTGTCGAGATTATATAATGATTTATAAAGTTTGCAACCCCATGTTTCTCTTTTTCATTTGAAACCAAGAGGTAAGGACATGTAAAAATCCTCAACAAGATCCTCCAGTATAAAAGCATTAATAACATCAAGTTGATGAAATATATCAATCAAGTAGACCTTGATGACAAGTAGAATACAAACTATTACAAGCACAGCAATAGGATCAAAGGACTGTAAACAATCTTTGAAAAAAAATGATTTCATCGCATTCTATAGTGCATACATATTTGCCCCCAAATAGCCCTTTTCCAAAAGGACATGGACGCAAATGTCATGTGCCATTGACTACGAAAACAGCAAGTTCTTGTTGCATATTGAGATGTTGTATAGGACAAAAACTATTTGGGAGAAGCATAATTTTTGTCAACTGAAGAAAAGTTATGAAGGCATGCCTATTGGGTGATAAACAACAATATGAAAAAATATTACATAAAATAGTAAACAGGAAAAACTAGAGACCACAATTTGAGCCTTGTTGGTAGTTCATTATAGATGCCAACCTCAACAAAAAATCATATTCACAAATCAAAAACCAGCAGAAAGAGCTTGAAGGATTACACAATACACATTAAGTTTCAACAAATAACATTCATTACACAAATCATCGAAGGCCAACGGAGTAGATATGGCACAAGTTCATCATAAATACAACCAACAAGCTAAACTTTCCCTGAAATAATACAGCCAACAAGCACAGTTGACATACATTAACAAAATGCTGCCAAAGTGCAGTTTAAAATCCAACAGACCTAATAAAACTACAGCCCTAAGAATCTAATCATGAAGAAATCCTTGCTAAAAATAAATTTTCCAATAGAAATATTAATGTGAGACAAAAAAAAACCTCACTCATAAAAACAGAGTAGCATCATAGATGAACATTGAAATCCCATAGAAGAAATTTAACCATGCAAATGAGCTTGCAGTTGCCCATAGTCCAACGCCTCGTGAAATAAAATCAATAAATTTGAATATCCAATGAAAAAAAAGGTTATCCGAAGTCGATCAAAAAACTGTTTTTTCTTACTTTCCACTGTACATAAACTGACAATAAAAGAGCATAATCCTATCTTTTCGCTCCCCAACAATAAAAGGTAGTTATACGAGGGTGGGTAAGAAATCATATACTCAGCTAAACCTAAATGGGGATGGTAGGGAGGCAGAATACCGACCTTTAGAGAAAAACTTGAGCAAGCTCTCCATTTCCGTTCGACTCCGGCAGTAGAGGCGGAACCCTAGAAACTGAATAACTGGCTAGTCGGGGAACAGCAGTAGCTAGAGTAGGCGGGAACGAAGTCCTAGACGGCCTGCTTATACGTGGCGGGAGTTTGATGCTTGAAGGAGTGACCACGTCCAGTATGAGTTTCTGAAAGAAATGAATTTATATAATCTCATTTTTTAATCTATATATATATATAAACATAAAACACTTCTTATATATATATATATATATATATAAAAAGAGGTGTTTTACGTTTGTGTATGTGTTTGCTTTTTTATTTGTAACATCAATTTTTTATAGTATATAAGATAATTTGAAGGAAGATATAATAAAAATAATAATTTAAAACATAAATTATATTTAATATAGCCTGCTTAACACTAATAAATATTAAATATTGAAATATTAAATAACCAGTTAAAATGTACTATTTAATATTGAATTAATCAATTCAAAACTTTTTTTTGATATGGGATTATTAGAATTTAAATACAAAATAAGTGTGATTTTTTAACAAGAAGAAATTGGATTAATTAAGACAGCTTGTATTGTGTAAGGTAGATAACAAATATAGATTAAATAAAAGGATTAAAACTAATATTGAGTATAGGGATGTCAAAACGGTTCGTCATTCGCGAACAGCACGTGTTCGGCTTGCTAAAAAGCTCTTGTTCGGCTCGTTCACTAAGTACTAAGTTAACGAGTCAAACACAAAGAACACGAACAAAGATTTGTTCGTTCGTGTTCGGCTCGT